TTCTAACCAGTCCTGTATAATTGAGGACTGAGAATCAGGCAACATCCCAGCCTGAGCGAGGTTACTCATGGGTTGGGCCGAGGGGTCCCTGAGGGAAACAAGTGGAGTTAGAGTTGACGTACCTAGTTCTAGGGATTCTAGGCTACACTCAAGGTTTGGGATGCTGCTGTCAATCTTGGAATTTATTTTAATTGTGTCACTGTACATATCCACTAAGGGGAAAGAGCAATTTTTAAGGGGAATGGTGGTCTGACCGATCCTAGCTGCTTCTCTACTAGCCCGGACTTTTGGGCGTTCTGCGGTATGTCGCGGCATTGTGTAACGGAGGGGTTACTAAGATTTTTCAGTAAAATAAAAATGTTAGTCGCTATAGCGATAACTTGTTAAATACTGTTTATGGTGTAATGCAATCCAGGTGTCAAAAATAGTCCGTTAGGTGTAGGTAACAGTAACAACCTTGATCGTACTATCTAGTATGAGTATCTGTGATACTCCTGCAATATGACTATATATACGGATGAGCACCTTTATATATATATATATGTAAACAAAGGTGTATAGTGATGTTGCAAGAGCAGTACAATAAACGCGAAGCTTATAATAAATATGAATATAAATAGCAAAAACTAGACGACCTGATTTCCACGTCAAGTTTGAACGCGCGCGTTGTTAAGAATCACTAAGTGACAAAATCATTGTGGTAATAGATTACCCGGAGCCTAGCACTTTTAAGCAGCTCCGACGTTTCGTCGGTTCAGTCAACTTTTATCGTCGTTTCATCCTTCAGTATGCACAACTAATGCGCCACTCACTAATCTACTTAGAGGTGAAGCAAAAACGTTAGTGTTCACACAACCGCTGGAGACGCCTTCGATGCGTTGAAATGAGCAATCAGCAACGTCGCAACATAAACCCACCTTGACCCCTCGCCAAACTAGCACTCGTTACCGATGCTTCCGACCACGCAGTTGGAGCCGTCCTCCAACAACAAGTGATACAGGAATGGCACCCAATAGTTTTTTTCTCCAAGAAGTTCCAACCGGTCGAGTCAAGGTACAGCGCCTTCGGTCTAAAACTCCTGGCAATCTATCTCGGTATCCGCCAATTCCGTCATCTTCTTGAAAGACGAGACTTCACGGTCTTCACCAACCACCGTCCTATCCCTCGCGCCATTAATTCTACCACCGACAGACACTCTCCACGAGAGTCACGAAACCTTGATTACATCACACAATATACGGGCAATGTACAACATATTTCTGGTGTCAACAACCCTTTCGCAGATGCCCTCTCACGCATCCATCACTTGGGTAGCTCTTAACCAGAAGCCATAGACTTACAGGACATAACCACAGCGCAAACCGATGACACTGATATTGAACGACTGCGTAAGCAATCCACGCTCCGCATTGAGCATTTACCACTTCCGTCCTCAGACAACAAAGTCTATTGCGACGTCTCCCTAGGTCACCCTAGGCCAGTAGTCCCATTGATCTTACCCAAAAGGTTTTTGAGACACTGCATAATTTGTCATACCCAGACATCCGCGCCTCAGTGAAACTCATCACTGATCGTTTCGTGTGGCACAACATCAATAGGGACATCCTCCAATGAGTAGGCCAGTGCTTTGCCTGCCAACGTAACAAAATCATTCGTCTCACAAGAGCCCACTAGGCTCGTTTTCCGTCGTCGACAAACGTTTCCATCACGTCCACGTAGACTTAGTGGGACCCCTGTCACCATCGAAAGGGTGTATCTATATACTCACCTGTATCGATCGTTCCACCCAGTGACCAGTAGCTGTGCCTTTGTCTTCCGCATCCAGCGAAGCAGCGGCGCAAGCCTTCGTAGAGGATTGAATAGCTAGCTTCGGTTGTCCTGCAGTAGGTACAACCGATCGAGGTTCTCATTTCGACGGTGTTTTCGCACAGTTACTTAAGCACCCAAGCGTTCGCCGCGTACAGACGACTGCTTACCACCTTGGAGCCAACGGGATGGTCGAGCGTTTTCACCAGCAACTGAAAGTGCCATGGCAGCCCAGGTGAACACAGACAGGAAGAAGTCTCTACCCTTTGTCATCTTAGGTTTCAGATCAGCCTTCAAAGCTGATCTGCAGTTCACACCGGCAGAGCTGACTTTCGATCGCATATTGCGTCTCCCAGGAGAAATGGTGGCACCGACCCCACCTACCGACTTCAACTACGGTGACTATGCAGCTCATTTAGTACATCGCATGCTACAGTTGCATATTCAACCATCTCGCCAGCAAACAACCCTAGCCTACCTCTCCCCCAGATTAGCCGAAAGCTCTCATATTTTGCTCAGGGCAGAGGTTCGCGCACCACTGCAACCTCAATACAGCGGCCCACATAAGGTACTGCGACGCTTGAAGAAAGCCTACGTAATAGAGCGCAACGGTAAACGTGAGATCATCAGTATTGACCGGATTAAATCTGCGCACTTGGGGGAAACCGATCCTTGCACTAATCATCCTCCACCCGTTGCGCCACCCGTAATTCCCGTGTCAATAAGTCCTGCTCCCTCCACTCCGGTAAACCCCGCGACACCCTTGGAGCAGGCACCTGATCCAGACCCACCCCATCAGATCACTAGTCCCTGAGTTACCGGTAAGTTTTGCATTTTAACACGTTTTTACACTTAGCAGCGTACAAATACATTTAATCTGCGATATGGATGATTTTTCTTTCAACTGAGTATCAATATGTGCATGCAAAAACCAAAAGAACAAAAATCCTTTTGTCATCGTTTTTATTATTTTTCCACCATGATTTACGGTTTTTCTCTCAATGAATATGTACGCATTAAAAAACAAACAAAAAACAAACAGTTGCCCTTTTGTATTGTGTTCGTCTTCGCCTCACCGATCAGCTCCGACAGGGGCTGCTTCGACCTTCTTTCTTCCGTTCTCTTCCAGGCTCTATATTTAAAAACTCGAGAGGAAAACTTCGGCCAGGAGAACGCAGCAATAAAGAAGTTTGGCACATTCCGCATCATTTCTACCGATCCAGCACAAAATGGGTATCGAAGGCCATTTTCTGATAGTCCCATCAGTTTTTTACCGGCTCATGCCCAGCTGAGACGGTCCTCCTATTTCCTTTAAAGACAAACCAAAACGGGGCAAGTAGCGAAACGACGACGGACCTGCAGACGCTTTTCCATAGCATTTTCATTTTCCCGCATTTCTTTTGTGGGCCAGCAACGCAAACCACATCACCTGGAATTATTTCGACAGCTGATTTCCAATACTTTTGTGGCAACACCTCAAGCGATTTTATTTTTCGGGCTTGCACACCACAGAAAACAATGCATGCACCCTTATTGAAGGCTCTCCCTAGCCTTCTAGGGGGGAACTCTGTAGTTACCATTCACATCCCATTCTACATGTACCCTTCCTCATGTGTATCTCATTGTTTTATCACACCAAGGCCATCTCTTTAATCAGCACGTGTTTGCTTTTCTTTTCCGTACGCTTGCTCACGCCTCTGTGTCTCTCTCTTGCTCTGCAGGTCGTAACGATACAAGCTGTCCTCCGTTTTGTGAATCACCTGGTTCTCTTTTTGCACGAACGTACGTTTGCGATTCCTACGTATCAGCTC